GTGGGAGTCAAAAACTAGAGGGCATAGGTTTAAGGTGAGAGGGGAAAGATTTAAAAAGGGACCTAAGGGGCAACTTTTTCATGCAGAGGGTGGTGCTTGTATGGAATGAGCTACCAGATGGAGTGGTAGAGGCTGATACAAGTACAATATTTATAAGGAATCTGGATGGGTATATGAATAGGAAGGGTTTAGAGGGATATGGGTCAAATGCTGGCAAATGGGGCTAGATTAATTTAGGATATCTGGTCGGCATGGACGAGTTGGACCGAAAGGTCTGGTTCTGTGCTGTTCATCTCTAAGATTCTATAAGACTGTAACTGGAGTAACTTTAGACAAGAACAGCTGAAACAAAGTGCAAAATATTGGGATGTGACTTCCTACTTGGGTATCACGAACAGCTTATAATAAAGGAAAAATTCTAATGGATACATAGACACAGGTTGTCACCATCAACAAGAAACAAAAGAAAAGAAAAATGCCTTGCGTTGTTGCTTACTACTAGAAGCAAGATCAGATGGAAAAGCATTCTCAGAGCTAGAAGTTCAACAAATGGAAGCTTTGGAAATCCTTTTAAAATTTACAGACAAACGTTATAAGACTAGAAATCAAGTTTTGAGGCCTTTAAATATAGATGTTAAGCAGAATAAGTTAGAAGGGGTTTTGAATCAACAACTCTATTTCAAAAAAGTTAACCAAATGTTGATATTTCTGGCCAGATTCTCTCAAAGATAATTTTGCATCCAAAGAAGAAACAGACTGGTTTAGAAGTTTTATTGGAGAGTTAAAATGGTTGTGCGCACAAGCTGCGGGTGGGGACCCAAAATGGTAGGTTTGGAGAGGGTGTTCTTGTTATTTTTGGGAGGTATGAGAGATCAGTTCAACAGTGACCAAGGAGTCAGAGTAGGTTTTCAATCTTTTGTTAATTCCTGGGTGAGTCCAAATCCTCCAAATTATCTGTTTTAATGGATGTTCCCGGAAGATTCCGGATGCATGAGAATTGCCCTTCAGAATCTGCAATTTCCTAAGCTTTTCTCATGGAGTCAGCTATGTCAGGCAATCAGGATGGTCTTAATACAAAACTCCACTGTATGCTGGCTTTTGGAATATCAAGAGTGCTGAAATTTACAGTTTGGTCAATTTACTGCCTGCCCGAAAAAAACGCCAGAATCTAACAGCCAAGTTGTGCCCATGTTCATCACGTAACATCAAGGTTCAAACTTGCAACCTGGCGGCTAGGAATCAAATAGTGAACTGCCTTAACTGCTGAAATGCAGTTTGGTGTGAAAGCATCTAGAATGTGTCATATGTAATACATCAAAGAGAGCGAATTAGTTAATATGTCAATGAACAAATAGTCCTGGGATATCCTTCCAACACTTAAGTGATCAATAGCTCATACTTGCTGTGCAGTACTGAAATTCACAAAGACAAAATAAACACAATTCAAGGACACAGAATGCACTCATACAAGTGAGCCACTGACTATTGAAGAGTAAACCATTTATAGTCTAAAATAAAAAGATACTGTTATCTAACTATGTTTTCATGTTCAATTATCTACACTCTAGTACACTATATTAATCAATGTCTTTTAAGGAGTCAAAATTGACTCACCTCTAAGCGTTAGTTGACATGCTTTGTAAATATGCACATACAAGTTATTTATTGAACATACGGGTGGATATTAAATGACGGTTGGTTGATCGTCCACATTCTATCCTCCTAAGCAGAGTTAGAAATACCTGAGGTTATTCAAACCTTGGCTGTCCATATCTTAAAACCCAGTTAAGTTCCAATCTGTTATCATGCCTATGCTCATGGATCTACATTGAATCTGGACAAGTAATGGCTTCATTTTAAAATTTCCATCTTGCTTTCAAATACCACCAATGGTCTTATCCCTCCTGATCTCTCTGTTGTCCTCCAAATCTACAAAACTCACTCATCTAATTCTGGTCTCTTGTACATTCCCAATTACAATTGCTCCAATATTGCGGGTAGCCTTCAGTTGTCAAGGGCTCTGATAAGGGAGGATTCAAGAAGGGCATGGAAAAGTAGGTATCAGAAGGGACAAGGACTCTACTGTTTCCAGTCTGAGATTGGTTTAACTTTAAGTTTATCAAACTTTGACTTCTAACATACATGCAAATCTCGGAGGAGGTTTGAAATCCCAGAATTCCCTAATTCCACGAGAAAGTCCTAAATTTGCATCTTCAATAGCGATAAAGTTAGTTGCTCTATCCTGTCACAAGGTGCCTATATCCAGCAATGGGAACAGCATTGCAGGAAAGAGAAATACCTTCTTCTATCTTCTACAAGACTTCCATGTTGTTTTTGTGATAATAGCACACAACCTACTCCCTTTAGATAATCCAATGAATAACTCTCTTAACAGGTAGGGTGGTCTAAGCTAGACACGCAGCAATACGTTTTCCAGCACTATCAGGTAAGCAAAATGGTGCAAATCAGTTGACCGTCAAGAGCAGACTTAATTATTTTTTAGTTTCCAGATCTTAGTTCTTGCTGACTTATGCTCAAATCTTCTGGCGAGGCATAAATGGAAACTCTACTTGTGAGGATTTCTCAGTCATTTGGTTTGGAGATTCTCAACTAAGTGACAGGGTTTCTGACATTCAATCAAAATCAAACTGATTTTTAATCAAATCATAGATAATGAAAGTCATGTATCACATTCTAAATCTTGATGTTCTGTTTTTATTCAAAACATCAGGCAGTAATGTTGCACAATCTTTCTCCCAACCTCCAGCAGTTCATGTTAAGAGAAAATTTCATTTGTTTGCAGAATTTTATAACTGAACCATGGACTTCTACAAGTCTTTAATGACATCCAGTTTCAGTTGTCTCCATTTTTTTTATTCATTCACAGATGAGGGCGTCAGCGGCTAGGCCAACACTTACTGTCCATCTCTAATTGTTCAGAGGGCGCTTAAGTGTCAACCACATTGCTGTGGGTCTGGAGTCACATGGAGGCCAGACTAGGTAAGGATGGCATTTTCCTTCCCTAAAAGGAATTAGTGAACCAGATCGTTTTCTTCAATGATCAACAAATGGATTCATGGTCATCATTAGACTCTTAATTCCAGATGTTTCGGTGAATTCAAATTCCACCATCTGCCACAGCATGATTCAAACCCAGGTCTCCAGAATATTACCAGGGTCTCCGAATTAACAGTCCAGTGATAGTACCACTAGGCCATCGACTATCCAATATTCCAATGATTATTTTACTATTCTGCTAATTAACTAGTTTATACACGGTTTCAGCACCTTGGCAATTTATGTAGTGTTTAAAGAGTTTCAAACACCAATTCCTGTCAGACTCCAGTCAGCAACACTGCCCCCATACTGGAAATCCTATTTCATTTAGTGCCTCCTTTAAAAAAAGTAACTCCTGATCCTTGGTTTGCCGTTGATTCTGAAGACTTTAGTTTGATTGGAAGATTTCCAAAAATTAAAATAAACTATATATTATAGGAATTTCCATCAATTTTGTGGAGATGGTATATGTTACATTTTTAAAAAAAGTACATTGGATGCAATACACATGGATTTTCGGATAACTTTTGACAAAGTACCACACGAAGTACCACTGCAGAAGATTAAGATGTGTACAATAAGGAGAAGAAAGAAAAATAGATTAGAAGCTGATCAGAGAAGAGGAAGAAAGAGGAGTTAACAGCAGTTATTTAAATTGTTGGAAGTGAATAGCACTGTCAGATATAGAATAAATTCCAGGTCAGAACTCTAAGGCCATGAGACACACGGACAGGAGTAGTCCATTCAGTCCCTTGATCCTGATCCATTGCCATTTATTAGGATCCATTAGAGTCCCAACCTGTTTAGCTTTTGCTCATGAGACAATCCCTCCATACCATTGATCATCATAGTGAACCTTCTCTCAACTGTCTCCAATGAAATAGGGTGCTCACATTTTATTGGAGTAGAGTGGCAAAATAATTTCACATTTAGCCATTATTTCTGGTCAGGCTAATGATGTGGCAACATTAAAAAAAGTTAGACTTCTAATATTCTTGAGTATGGTCAGCTGGATATAAAAGCACTTTAAGAAATAGGTTTCTCAAATGCTAATAGACATGGATCTGAAGAATATTGCAGAAGGATTTGGTGATGTGGAAGAGCAGATGGATTTCTGAGTTCAGAATCACAAGTCATGAACAGTAACATGTTGTTTTCTATATAACATTTCTTGTTCTATCCTCAAAATTAAGCAGGATCATTCTCTTCAACAGTTTGTTCTTCATATTTAAAATAATTATTTAAGCTAAAAATAGAGATAGTTTAATTGGAGCAAAAATAACACCAATTTGAGAGGTCTAAAAAATTGTATTATTTGTCAAATTGAATGAACCAACCTCAAATTCAGAGGAATAAACTGTAAATCTAGGTTTCTTTACAGATGCTCAATCCTCTACCTTTACCTTAGAATGGTTTCCAGTTTTTCATCTGTCAATTGGATGTTGGCTTACAATAGGTTAATTAGCATAGATTGGTCATCATTTTAAGCACAACAAATATGTTTTCTATCCTACAATGTTCAGTGGTACAATTATTCTTTTGTTACGAAAACCAATGCCCCTCTCCTATCTCCTACATAGCAACCTGCATGCTACTGGTTGAGGTAATTTGTTAGCCTTCAATCCTTTGTATTTAATCAAACATCACTGGTTCATTAACTTTAAAATCCTCTAGCTATGATGCCATTGTTCTCCGTAATAAACACTATAATATGTTGAATATTTACTCTAAAACGTTGAATGCAATAAAAGTTGCATTACTTACAGGAATTCCATTTATCATTCTCAGGATGCAAAGAACTTAGAGACTCACTTCGGTTCCATGCATTTCTCCAATTTTAGTTTACAATATCAGCAGTTGTAATATCCAGACTGATTTGTAATAAATAACAGATATTGCAAGGACCTTTTTCAAAAATCAAGTTAATGTTTCAAACATCCTACCTTCCCATCTTCTGTGTAGACATTTTCATTATATGCTTTAACAATTGTTCGATCAATGAATAAACTCCTCATCACAACTATTGCTTTTAATACCTTTCCAAGTGTGACCTGCAATAAAAAAGTACAAAGCAGAACAGATCATTAGGGTACATGAAATTTTCAGATGGATACACTCAAGGTAGTGACCACTCTTGGGGGAAAAAATATTGGATGATTACTCGTAAGCTGCCTTTTTGTGATACAATATGTACATGTAACTCTGAGAAAATATGTCCAAATTAAACAAATATATCTGCTTTACAATAACATTCTAACAAAAGACTTAAACCAATCTCAGTGCGTGTTATAGAAGACTGAACAGTACAGTCTGTTGTATAAAGTAATACAAGAAATGTAAACATATCAGATGATCATTACCATCAGATCTTAGGGTGCTATATCCAGTGTGGGGCTGCATTTCAGAATCTGAGGAATGGAAATATTTTTGAATCACTGGCCTTTCTCTCCTGGCCTCCAAGTAAGCCACTAGGTTCTATTTGGCCCTTTCTTCAACATGCCATGGCTTAACTCAAGAACTCATTACACTAAGATGCACAGTAGGCTGTTATTTCTCTGTATTAGCATTGCTCTGAAATCTGATAGTGGATTTTATATTAGGAGCTCTGAAGCATTGTATTTTATAATTAGCTTATATTTGAGCGCAACTGTAATATAAAAAGGCATTATTAGCAATCAGCTGCATTTACTGCAGGGAAAACTTTCAGAAACCTGTCAAACAATTCTTACATTTACTATATTACATGCAGCTCTGTGCATTAGCTGTGTGAAATGTGGCTGCAGGCTATAATGAGCTTTTAATCCCAAAGAACACTTGAGAAAGTTACTCAATACACCAGGTCACAGAGCCTTAGGCTATAATAATCACAGAGTTCTGCGAATTTTTCTACTGTGAGTTAATGCAACCAATATTCTTACAACCACTACAATTAATCAACATGTTTAATCAGTTACTGTTGCTGCAGAAATAAGGTTATAGTTTGAGGTAAGACTTGTCAACATCTTGTGTTAACAACTAGTTGAGCATTTCTGAAAATCACAACATTTACCTCAGAGTTGAATACACTTTATCCTGAGAATTATAAAGTTAAATAATTTGTAAAATTGTATTACACAATATATCAAAACAAAACACTATAATGCACATTCTGATAATTAAGTAAAATGGATAAAATCAGAATGAATTTAAAGACTGTACATTATCCCACCTGCAGTAGTCAATGGTAATCACTGGACTGCTAATCCAGAACCCCAGGCTAATGTTATGGATAATGGTTCAAATCCCATGACTGCTGGTGAAATTTTAATCTAATTTTTAAAAAAATGCTTGAAATAAAGAAAAAGCTAGTCTAATAGCAAGCACGTAACCACTGCCAACTGTTGTTTAAAAAGAAATCAGGTTCACTGATGTCTTTCAGGGAAATAAATCTGCCACTCTCACCTGGATTAGCTTACATGTGACTTCATACCCACAGTAATGAGATCAACTCTTAACTGTATTCTGTAGACCAGCAACATCTACGTCCCATGAATTAAATAAATCTCTCCTCACTACTTGTTGACCTTTCATGTGCCTGACGTGACCAGTGTGACTCATCAATGCTCTGAAGTAACAATATATTGCATGGCCCTCTCCAAGAATCCACATCTGACAAAGCTGTTTTCTAACTTCAAAGTTAATCCTGGAAATACTTCCTCTGTATCTGTCCTTCTGTCACTTTAAACACCTCAATTAGATTATCACTCAAGGTTTTGAACTTGAAGAAGAACAAATAAACTTTATATAATTAGCGTCTGAGGTCTATAGGTAAGAGGCTGGAAAAGCACAGCAGGTCAGACAGCATCCGAGGAGCAGGTAAGTCAATGTTTTGGGCCAAAACCCTTCATCAGGACTCCTTTATGTAATTAGCATTTATAATTTAACACTTTAAACTCACAGTCATTTTGATGAATATCTGAAATGCAACTCTTTGCTGAACTAATAGAAATTTGAAGTATTGGTACCAAAAAAATCAAAACATTACGCAAGAAGAAATCAGTCCCAGAAGAATTCAAAAAAATTAGAACATCACTTCCTCACTTTTGTTTTTCAGCTCCCTTGAAATAAGGGCAGTTCTTCCCATTACTTCTAGTAATTTATGAACCTGACTCTCACTGCTCCCTCACAGCTTTGCCTTGCACAACAAAAGAATTGATTTGATTTTCTCGTTATAACACATTTGAAAAATACATTGTATTTTCTTTTTGTATCCTCTTCAGATTGAGGATACCCTCCATTGTGTTGGGTGGCATTAACACCCTAAATGAGACAGACTTCAAAAATATCTAATAACTCAAGACATGAGCACCCATGAGGCACTGTGGGACATCAGCAGCAGCCTATCCCCCACCGTACCATCACCATCAAATCAAAGAATCAACCCTGGTTCAATGAAGAGTGCAGGAGGGTATGTCAGAAGCAGCACTAGGCATTGAAAATTGAAGCACAAAACAGTACCAGTTGGGTTCGAAACAGCAAATGTCAGACAGAGCTAAGTAATTCAACAATCAATAGATCAGACCTAAGCTCTGCAATCCTGTTAACATCCAGTCATGAATGGTGGTGGATAATTCAACTTCTCACTGGAGTAGGTGGCTCCACAAACATCCTCAATGATGGGGCAAATCCAGCATATCAGTGTAAAGAGAAAGCTGAAGCATTTGTAACAACTTCAGTTTTGCCTCCTCTGGATGTTTCCAACATCACAGATGCCAGTCTTCAATTAGTTAGATTGATTCCAGTTTATTAAGAAATGACTGGTGGTACTGGATACTGCAAATGTTATGGGCCCTGTCAACATAATGGCAATAGTACTTGAGACACATTCCAAAACTTGGTTCACCTCTTGCCAAGCTGGTCCAGAATACTCGCATTTACCTGACCAGGTGGAAAACTGCTCAGAGATGTCCTGTACGCAAAAAGCTGGAACAATCCAACCCAGCTAATTACCATCCCACCAATCTACTCTCGATCATCAGTAAACTGATGAAAGATGTCAACCATAGTGCCAGCATGCAGCACTTGCTCAGCAATAACCTGCTCACTGATGCTCAGTTTGGGTTTCACCAGGGACACTCAGCTCCTAGCCTTTTTGCAGCTTTACAGTTCAAACATGGACAAAAGAGCTGCATTTCAGAGGTGAAGAGTGACTGCCCTCGACAACAAGGCTATATTTGATCAAATGTGGTATCAAGGAGCCCCAGTAAAACTAGAATCAATGAGAATCAGGGGCAAAGCTCCCCATTGGTTGGAGTCATGCCTAACACAAAAGAAGCTGGTTCTGGTTGTTGGATGTCATTCATCTCAGTTCCAGCACATCACTGTAGGAATTCCTCAGGGTGGTGTCCTAGCTCAACCATCTTCAGATGCTTCAATGACTTTCTCGTGTCTGAATTGGGAATGTCTGCTGATGACTGCACAATATATGGACAATGTCCAGATTTGGGCTGACAAGTGGCAAGTGATGTTCATGCCACCAAATGTCAGGCATGGATCACTTCCAGCAAGAGAGAATCTAACCAATGCCCTTTGACATTTGAAGGCATTACCATCACTGAATATTGCACTATCAACATCTTGGGATTTACCACTGACCAGAAACTGAACTAGACTAGCCATATAAACAGAGCAGCTACATGAGCAGGTCAGATACTAGGAATCTAGTAACTTGCCTCCTAACTCCCTAAATCCTGTCCATGATTTACAATGCTCAAGTCAGGACTGTAACGTAATACTCCACACTTGCCCGAATGAATGCAGCTCCAACACTCAAAAAACTAGATATCTTCCAGGACAAAGCAGTCTACTTAATTGGCACCCTACCCAAAAACATTCACTCCCTCCGCCAATATTCAGTAGCAGCTGTGTATACCACCTACAAAATGTATTGCAGAAATTCACTAAGGTTTGTTAGATAGCACCCGCCAAATCCATAACCACTACAATCTAGAATTCCCTCCCTAATGGCATTGTGGGTTTACCTGTGCCAAATGGACCGCAGTAGTTCAAGGCGGCAGCTTATCACCGCCTCCTCAAGGTCCAACCAGGGTTGGGCAATAGATGCTGGCTCAGCCAGTTCTGTCTATATCCCATGACTGAATAAAGAAAACCATAATAATAGAGACAGTTGACAGTCCTGCTGCTGTAACAGAGAGGATAAGAAACAGAACTCTCACAATGAAGGATCAAAAAGAAATAATATGCTCATGCAGCATGCTGTGGAAGCTACCTGCTTAGGTAATGAATAGAAAAACGGAACCTTTGCTAGCAAACAGTTCCCTTCCAAAAGCCAGGTGAGAAAACAAAGCCAATTTAAAAACAGTTCTTCCATTTGGAATGAAAATGTGTTGTCATATTTAGCAAGGGTGAATTGTTTCTATATCTATTTTTCAGAGCTATAGTATTAGTTAAAATGCTTAGCTTCAAAAGAACAAATACATTTTAATGAAGTGGTAGAGTTAGCTTACAAGTAGTAATATATTATACCAAAAAGTGGTTAAAAAGTCAGTAATGCTCCGCAATGCACTAGATAATAGAAAATTATGGTTAGGCTGATGTGGGATATGTCAAGCAGCCGAGTATAAAATGGCAAACAGCAGATATTTCTGGTTAGCATTTCCAGTCAACGAAGGGTATATGCCACCATGACTCGGTTCACTACACCTTTGTCTGTGAATCAGAAGTTTATTGAGTCAAAAACAAAGCTTGAATAATAATCTTGCTGACACTCTGGCACAAGAGTGATGGCCTACTGCTTTTTGAAAAGTCAGTTTTGATTTAACTGTGTATCTGGATGGTTTAAGTAGATGTTTAAGATAGCACAGCACTATTTGAAGAGTGACAGGGAATTCTGTATTGACAAATGCCTCTCGAATAAACACCAAGAAAAGTTAGGTACTCATTTGTTGTATGTTTCTTGTGGGAACTGGTGTGCAAAACATTAAGTATGCTTACAGGTATGTAGGCAAATAATTAATTCATTCAATGTGAGATTCCCAAAGAGATACAATGG